GTATCATTTCCACTGCATGTAAGTATAGGTTTCCAGCTGAAGACCTATTTATTTTTATTTTTTAATCAACACAGAAAACCTTACTCAGAATTGAACTTCATAATGTAAAATGTGGTAGAGTTGAAATGTTTCTATTATATGAATGGAATGATAGAGAAAAGGAAGAATGATAATATAAACCAAAGAAGGCATAAAACATCATGGTATCTAGATGATATGAAAAAAAAAACTGCGGAGGAAGTAGTATATAAGAAAAATGTAAAATATAATAACCGGATTTTCTGTTGCACTACGGGACAGCTCTGATTATGGACGGGCAATGCAGCACAGTGCGACGTGCAGGGACCATGGGGCAGATGCCCTGAGCCTGAGTAACTGCTCTGCCCTTACCCGCTGTGTCACCCTGACAAATGACTTGGCTTCTGTGTGCCTAGCGTCATCATCTGCAATAAATAGATAATAAAAGAACATATCTTATTGGGGTTGGGTGAGGAATAATGAGTTCATAGATGAAAAATGCTTGGAATAGTGCAGGACACTCAGCAAGTCCTACATAAGTATGAGCTATGAGCTATTAGGAGCTTCACTCAGTGTTCTCAACAGTTTTCAGAAAGTCACATGAAAAATGCTTTTTTTTAAGTAATCAGTAACTATGTATATGTATGTATATATGTGTATAAACACACACACACACACATATTTAATGAAAATAATTCTGAAATGGCAGGATGGGCCACCACAGAAGATATCAATCTTTTTTAGGAGGAAGATTGGCAGCTTAAAAGTACTCTTCTAATTGGGGCAGGGAAAGTACAAGATAAGCCTGAAATATCTATTTGCACTAGCAAGTAAGGAAGTGCTCAACAAATCATGGGGAAATCCCAGGAGAACACTGAAGCTAGCCTGAAGGGGACTGCCTCCACCAACCAAATCTAGGATAACTTGAGCACCACAATAAATGATGATAGCAGCGCATAATAAACCATTAAATGATACCTCAGTATCATAACATTGAAAAATATCTGAGTTCTTACTGATATAAATCAAGAAAGTAAAGAAATAAGGAAGTTCTTTATAGTAGAAAGTCAATAACAGATATATTAATATATGATAGAGTTAGAAAATAACTATCTTGCAAAGATCATAGTAATAACTTATTCAAACAAGAATCATAAATGGATGCTAAAACTCGTGGGTGAAAGATGGATAAGAAGATATTTATGTAGTCTCAAAGTTCCCCTACAAAATATTTATTCCTTATAAAAGTAAAAATGGTAACTATACATATAATGGCAGACACAACCTTAACCAAGCAAAGAAAGTTAACAGTACCAGGACGGGACAAACTGACATGACGTGCCTTCTGAAATGACGCACTGAGGACACAAAATCATTTCTGTGGTATTCCTGCCAAAATACAAGCCTACATGCAATCATGAGGAAGTATCAGACAAATCCAAATTAAAAGCTCTTATATAAATAATGATTGGCTTGTATACTTCAAAAATATCAAGATCATGAAAAAAAAAGAGATTGAGAAATTTTTCCAATTAAAAAAGACTAAAGAGATGTGACAAATAAGTGCAAGTGTGACACTGGATTGAGTCTTGGAATGGGAAAAAAAGAGTTATAAAGGATATTACTGGGACAACTGACAAAATTTGAATGCAGACTGTGGATTAGACAATGTGGTCAGATAATGAGATTAGATAACAGTATTATATCAGTGTTAAATTTCCCAATTTTGACCACTGTACTGTGTTTATGAAACAGAGTGTCCTTGTTTTAGAGAATATATACAATTGGCGAATTTGGGTAAGGGTTACATAGGAATTCTTTGTACTATTCTTGCAACTTTTCTGTAAGTTTGACATTGTTAAAAATAAATTTGTAGTAATAGCAAATATCTTCTACCACTAAGATTTTTACATACCCCCTGGATGAGAAATGCTATCTTAAGCTAACTGCCCATTTTTGAGTGGTGGGCTGAGAAATATCTAACAACCAGCTCTCTGGGGGTGGGGTAGGAAACTGACTTGTAGCATCTGGTAATTTTTGTGGTATAGGTACTCCCACTGTGGTTGATATCTACCTACCAACGTGGCATCACTAAACTCTCACACGTGCTCTTATCAGGAAGAGATGCATGTTCTTACTGACTGGCGCCAGGACATGACTGGCATTATGCCAAAACAATAGCTAAATTCAATTGGCTTAGGGGTTGGTGGAATAACTAAAGAAAACCTAAAAAACAGTAAGCCTACAGAACAGTGAACAAAACAACGGAAATTAAGCAAATAGTTACTAACATGAAGAGAAAAAATTGACTTTTATTTTAGGGCATTTATAAATATCATTTAGTTTTTCACTATGTAGTTATCATACCTGACAGGTTGTACAACAATAGCTCTAATTGGGCATTTCTGAATTTTTTTACTTTAGAACAATGCTAATACAATTGGCTTTTTGATTCTTTAAGACTAAAAAAATTTGGCTTTTGATTTATCTTCTTTAATATTTAAGGACAATATTTTAGTTTTGTAATGTAATTGAAGTTCTGAACTACAAACTAAGATACGCAGGATCTAAACAAATAGGCTTGGGAATCAGATCCACCTGGGTTAGAATCCTTGGTTCACTTTTTACTGGCTAACCTTAGTGTATGTAACCTTAGTGAATTACCTGACATTATTTTCTGAACCTTTCCTCGTCTGCACAGCAGGATGCAGTACCCACTGTAGTGGGTACCTGTCTCTTTTTGGTTTGTCCACATCCCTTTTTCAACCATTTTAGCTAAGGAGTCTCTGCCGGTTGTACTTCATCACTTCAACTCTGAGTTTGTACAGCATGCCATTAATACTTGAAAGGTATTGGCTGTTTATCACTCTAACTCTAGCAATTACAACAGTGCCTTGAGCAATTTGTTGGATGAATGAATGAATAGATGAATGAACAGTCCCTCCTCTACTCCATATGATCTCTTTTGGGCTGCCAAATAAGGAGCTCTGACCCTTTTCACACGACATGGGCAAGCCACCTAAACTGGCTATCAAAATACTCGTCTCCGGGACTCACAGGAATTCAGGGGTGAGCATGTGACCCAAACAAAATGAAACAGGGCTATTTCTCAGAGGCAGATATGAATTCTGAGAGACAGAGCAACTCTTTTTCTCTGAGGCCTTACTTAGATTAAGGCCGCTGTGAGCCAGTAGCTGCCAGCAATCGTTTTTTCCACCACATGGAAAGAGTTTAATAGAGAATAAAGCCAAAGAGAGGAAAGCAGGGATGAGAGACAGAAAACATGCTAGTAAAAACATTGTCCAAATCCTTGGATTCAATTACACCTGAAGAGTTTTCTGCTTAAGCTTGTTTCAGTTTGATCTCTATCACTTTAATGTGAAGGAGCCCT